ATTATGCACTTGAAATAAGAGACTTCAGTTGTTCCATTGGCAAAGTGTCTCAATTTAAGAAAAAATCCACTTATTTTAAGAAATAATTACTAACTTAGATTAACATTTTTTGCAGTGTGATCATCATAAAATGATCATTCTTATCGGTGTCGCCCCCCTGATAGACTGAACCCAGCAGAAACATCTTCAGATCACTGAGGGGAGAACTAAGCAGCTGATGGAGGATTTCCACACACATGAACCCAAACATTAAGAGTTCAGGCTGGTTGGATTATGCTGGATTAACACCTGAGCAGTAAACAGGACCAAACACGCAGCACTGGAGCAGACCCGACCAACCGAGGAGACAGAAAACCTCCTGCAGGACAGGCCGAGGCTCGGACCGCAACAAAATTTGTTGCTCCAATTTCGTGGAACCAATTACCTCTTCAAATTAAGTCCGCCCACAGCCTGGATCATTTTAAATCGCTTCTTAAAACTTATTTTTATTCTTCGGCTTTTAATTCTGTTTTGTAAATTTGATGTTGTTGCTTTTCCTGTAAAACACTTTGGTGCAGTTTTAAACCTGTTTTTAAAGTGCTATATAAATAAATTTGACATTGACACTGACATAAAAAAAAAACAATAAATAAATCACACGTCATTCGTCTAATTTAAAGGTACACTATGCAACCGGTGTTGATTTTCCAGCGAGGCTCCCCCCAGAGGGCGAAAGTAAAAGTGCACTGGCGTAAATATTCTCAGCTGTTCTCCTGGTTTCTCCGTCAAGCCAGGCGCGGTTGTTTTGAGCTTAGCAGACAGGTGAACATAACGAATCATCATGTCTACAGCGGTAAGTGACTATTTTGTTCCAATTTTCGAGGTTGAAAAATTAGCATGTTTTCATACATTATTTGTTATGCATGCGTCCAAATAACAAAGATTGTAGTTAGCCAAGTTCTTGCCGTAAAGCAAGACCGACTCTCGCGATGCACGAGACCTCTGAGCCTGTGGGTGTGGGCCGAGGACTCCTGCAATTGCAAGTACGGTATTTCCCCTACCAAGGGCGTAGGTTTGATTTGAACTTTGGTAGGGACACTATTGGTCGGGTGTCATTGGTGCTATGCAATATGCCCTTTTTTATGTTCGATGTGAGCATCCGTACTGATAAGAGGAATTCATTGTTAAAAGAGAAAAGCATCATTTTGCTACATTAATAAAAATTGTATAAGCACTACTGTACACTCATTAGATGCTGTTTATCAATGTTTGAAGTATCACCGGCTCTGATGAATGTGGAATTAGGACCGTTTTCCACTTTGAAAACGGTTTCATTTGAACGACTAAGAGAGAAGGTAAATACAGTATTTTCTTTTGAAGATATAGAATAGTGCAGAGTTAAACCCCACTCAAATATTTGTACCTACTATTCTCTCTCTGTATCAAGCAAAAATAATACATTCATTAAAATATTAACTTCACTATAAAAGTTGAACATCTGGGCTGTAGTTACTCTGTGTCGCCCATTTCAGGTATTTCATCTGGGGCTGAAAAAAATTAACCATATTAATTGATTATTTCAATAATCGTCAACTAATTTAGTATGTAATTCATCATTAACTGGGGTATACAGACTTTAAAATATACAGTAATATAAATGTAAAATGTGCCTTTCCCCACAGAGCAACCCACTTAGATCAGTTATTATATCAAAATTGTAAAAATAAAAACAAAAAAAATGAAAACAGTAATATCAACTTAATATCGGTAAAAAGGAAACCCTTACATTGTCTTTTTTAGTTGGCTGTGGCTAAGAATCAGAAATGTTGATGGCTTAGAGCCTTTATTTGCCCATTTTTCCAGCAGTCTTCAGAACTCCTGGCTGACTCAGAATATTTCGTTTAATAAAAGAAAAAAAAAAGGTTTTTGTTTTTTAGTGTACATGATATTCATTTTTTTTTATTGGGACTAATTTTGTAGCCTAATATTTATTGTAGTAACCGCAGCATTCTAGTGTGAATAAATTTTCAATGTTGTGCTCCAAGCACACGCGGACTAGAAAACAGCCAATCAGAGAGAGAGAAGGCGGAACTTAAGGCAGAACAACCAATGAGAGTGGAGTTAAACAGCGCAGCACAGTTCCATGCGCTGCTACATGAAAGGGACAGGAGAGACCAGGCAGAGGAGCTGCGAGAGGAAAAGAAGCCACTGCTGCAACAACTACTGCTGTAAATTATAAACATGTTGCTCACATCCGATTATTGGTCGGGACAATTAGGTCGGTTCAAAATTTTGGTAGGGACATGTCCCTATGGTCCCTATGCAAACCTACGCCCATGTCCCCTACAGACCACCAGGGCGGCCGAGAAAACCTTTGTTCGACCTGAAATGACTCATTTAATCATCCAAAACGTTATGGAACACATTAATTAACTGAAAAATGTTGCATAGTGTGCCTTTAAATTGATTATTTTGAACACATAAAAAACACAATTTCCTTGTGCCTGAGCAAAACCAACAAAACATATCGTAAATGGGTATAGTCAAAAAAAAAAAACACAACCCAACAACAGCCAAAAAAAAAAAAAAAAAAATATATATATATATATATATATATATATATATATATATATATATATATATATATATATATATATATATATATATATATATATATATATATATATATATATATATATATATATATATATAATAAAAAAACCAAACACAACTAATCAGAATTGGCCTATAAAATGCACCAAGCTGCCACATGCGGTTTCTAATCCCCAGCTGCCAAACAGGCCACAGGGAGTTTCTGCATGCCAGCAGGCGGATGGAAAGCTCCTGTTTATATAGGGAGAGCTGTATGCACACACACCTGCTGACACCCTGCTCACCTGAGCAACCACAAGCATTCCTGACTACTGTCGCAAAGCAAACAGGAAACGAGGGCCGGTGATGTCACGCTGTGGGAAGCTGAGTGGAGCGCGCTCAGTTCTTTGTTTGTTCCGTCTCTATTAATGAGCTGCATTCCTTAACGATGTCTCAGCTTTATGTCTGTATTTGCTTTTCTATTCTTGCTGAAAAGCTGGAGGATCAACAGCAGGAGGTTTTTAGAAAAGTGAAAGCAGCAGCACAGAAATCAGACATGTTCTCAATTAGCAGAACCATGTCGTTAGCGGAACGATAACGAGACAATAATTGGATTCTGATTCTATCTTTCCATCAACGGTTCCTCCCTCTTTCTCCTCCTTTGTCAAACATCTAATGGCTGCTTGGTGAAACATGGAGATTAGATTTCTCCAGTAATGCATCAGTAAAATATTCAGAATATTTTTGCTTAATTTTACTTGATTTGGAAAAAAAAATCATCAATATTCACCTTTAAGATGAAAAAACAAGGAACCTTTTTGCATTTGCTCTTATTTTACTGCATATTTTTACGGCTATATAAAGCTGGTTTCTCCAGCAGCTCTCACCGTCCATCTCCGACCTACATTCCCAGGCAGCGGTGCGACTCTGCCAGCAGACTTCAGGTTACGTTACTGGGCCGGTCGCTGGGAGGACAGTTGCTTCATAGTTATGGGGTCAGACCAACACTCCCTCTTCAGGGTCAGGTGACAGAAATACCCAGCATTCTCCTGGCACTGCTGGTTGTGAAATGACTGAACCTATTGGCGGGGATGGAAGCGTGAGCCGTGCAGCGAAGGAACCGCTCAGAGTTGCTGTCCTGCAGCTTTTCTGCAAGACGCCTAAATCTACAGAACTCTGCAGACATGAGTGATGGCGGGTCAGGGACTTATTACTGAGGTGTTTATGAGAAAGGCTGCAAAATAGAAGCTCTGGAGGATCAGACTTTGACCTGCAGGAGCATTTATTTACCTTCTTTCAGCTTTTATCACCATCTATATGTTGTTAACTTGAACTATTCCTGTTTTATAACTGGACTGAAATGTTTAAAAGCTGTTAGACGAACTCTTTGGTGCACTGCTACCTTAGTAGCCACTCAAAATGTCCCAACTTTCCTTGAAGGGCTCTTGGCTGGTTCCCTACAATTCCTTTATAAACATCAATCTTTGTACTAAAATATTCTGTCTGTCATGATTTGTGGACATTAAAGGCAGATTTATGCTTCTGACGCATGGCCCCTGCAGCCGTCAAATCTGTCTCCGTGTGTGACCATGCCCTCCCGTGCAGAAGTTCTGCAACCGTTGTTGCGCACCTAAAAAAAAATCCTGACTACGCGTTGGACGGTCGCAAACCAGCGCAGGCCTCAAGCGGAAGTGTGCAGACAAAAAGCAGCTGTGTTTGGTCCTTGGTTCCTTTCCGGCTGTCTGTGTGGTCGTCCTTCTCGATTCGGTGTGGGTGTGCGCCATTTTTAAAAACCGAGGAACAACTACAATCCACAACTATGACAAAAGGCTAATCGAGGTAGCCTTGTGAGACCATCCTGATCTCGCGAGCTTTCAAGGTTTCACTCGCTAATCAGCCTGGAGACTCTCCGTTAAAGAAGATTTGGAGCCGTTCACCAAACGAACGTCCAATCAGCGTTGGCTTTGAGGCGGGTTGAGGTGTGACGCAACGAGAAGCGCGACAGATCAGTCTAAAGAACATGGCGGCTTCAGCCGATGAAACTAGCGTTAGCGTGGCTATCGAGCAAGTTTTATCGGAATTACAGAGTACTTCTTCACTGAAAGAAGAGCAAAACACTGCTCTGGAGGCTTTTCTCAGAGGAAAAGATGTTTTTGCTCTTCTCCCGACTGGTTTCAGCAAGAGTTTGATCTATCAATTGGCTCCTCTTCGTCGTTGCTCTGTTAGTACGTCATATGCTTCGTTGATCTGATTGGCGGAGTCAGGTTATAATCGAGGATGTTTGGAAATACAACCACTTGTACGATGCCTCAGACAAATTATATAAAGGTGCCAGGGTCTCTGCCAACTCCAGGAGGGAGATCAGCTAGTTCCGTGAGCAGGATCCAAAGGAGTGTTTACAAAGGTGGAAGAGATTGAGAGATAAATACGTGAAGTTCTCCCGAGTTCTCGAGTAGGCTCCCGTCTTGTGCTCTGGCGAGAAACTGCTGAGCGTCCCTAGAAATTCCAGACCGATGTTGCAGAAGCATACCAGCAAAACTGGTTCATGACCAGACCCAAGCGACATTTGATGTGTGCGGTTGCAGAAGTCTAATCTGCCTTTAAGTCGTCAACAACAACAAAAACAACAACAACAAAAACTATCTAAAGATCCTTTATCTTTGTGCTATGCTACTTTTTAATAGCATAGTTTTACAGCAAACATTTGTTTTGTTTAGGATCCAGCTGTTGATGACTGGAGACTACAGTCATCAGCACCAGGGTTTTCTAATAAATATTAACTTTGAGGGTCAAAACATCTGACATTATGTTTAATAGTTTAAAATCTAGCCAGAAACAAAGGAACCCAAAGAAGCCAAATCGACTGAAAGGAAATAATGATACCATTTTTGGCATTTACTTAATAATATTTAGTCACTTTAACACAATTGTTTTATGTCCTACTCTGCTAACATTAAACAAATATGTTAAAGTAACTAAATATGATATTATAAAATATTTTTTTCAGTGTAAAAGCATATAAAATGTTTCCTGGACTGAACTTCCTGTCACCCTGCAACCTAAAAAGGAGAAGTACTTTTTTGTTACATGACTAAAAATAAAATCTTTCAATTCTAGTATTTTATGCACCAGTAATAACAATCTGCTCTGTACCGTGTTTTATGGGTATTGAATCAAATCTTAGATGTTGAAACAGTCCACAGAACTTTACTAATGAAGATAAATCCGAAAGGCATTTAACAAAAAATCACAGCTAGAAGCTGCTAAACAAAGGCCAGAGAATGGAGACTTATATGAAATATCAAATTTATTTAATTAAAGGTATAGCGACCTCTCCACTTTAATAAAAAAATGCACATGCAGAACCCTGTACCCGCTCGCAAGAGGGAACGCCTATTAAACGTATACTATGCAACCGGTGTTGATTTTCCAGCGAGGCTCCCCCCAGAGGGCGAAAGTAAAAGTGCACTGTCGTAAATATGCTCAGCTGTTCTCCTGGTTTCTCGGTCAAGCCAGGCGCGGTTGTTTTGAGCTTAATAGACAGGCGACGTAACGAATCATGTCTACTGCGGTAAAGTGACTATTTTGTTCCAATTTTCGTTTGAAAATTTAGCATGTTTTCATACATTATTTGTTATGCATGTGTCTAAATAACAAAGATCGTAGTTAGCCAAGTTCTCGCCGTAAAGCAAGACCGACTCTCGCGATGCAAAAGACTTCTGAGCCTGTGGGTGCGGGCCGAGGGCTCCTGCAATTGCAAGTACGGTATTTCTCCTACAGACCACCAGGGCGGCCGAGAAAACCTTTGTTCGACCTGAAATGACTCATTTAATCATCCAAAACGTTATGGAACACATTAATTAACTGAAAAATGTTGCATAGTATGCCTTTAAATGCTGTTTGCATCACTAATACAAGCTTACTTTCCAAAAGAAGATTTGCAATTGTTCCACTATGTCTGACTCACCACCGGTAAGTGAAAATGGGGACGAGCACGTAGGGCGGCCTTACATAAACATCTCACCAGAATGATTGACAGTTAGGAGGACCACTTCTTATGATGATCCACACAGAAAAACTAAATCCTCCATTACACCTTATAACCATAATAAATGAATGAAAGAAAAATAAATACGTTGACAGGATAAAAGAAAACAATTACCTAATACAGCATTTATTAATGCTTTTTAATCCTCTTTTAATGCTCTTAGAAATAATCTTAATGCCATCAACAAATACCCATGAGATAAGGCAAAATCCTCCATCTTCACCATGGACAGGCTGCAGCCATGTCCAGAGTTCCTCGTTTTCTCGCCACTTTGGTTCAGATTTGCATTTACCCCATTCTCTAGCCTTTTCTCTGCCTCAAGCATCTTTTCCGAAGCATTTTAATGCCATGATTATTTGAATGCCAATTAAGACCTTAATTTAACAAATAACCCTGTAATAATTTCAAATATATATTTAATTATCTAATAATGTATGAAATAAATGGTGTAACTATATAGTTTTAACCATTTATTGGGACATTTACTTATTTTATGACCAATTTAGGATTAAAATCCTGTCAGATTTCTATTAATCTAATCTGAGATCCTTTCTGACAGAAAATATTTGTTAAAGAAAAGGGGGCTGCAGCTGATCCCTGAGGTACGCCACATCTAATAGCCACAATGATGCTGCCGTCACTTGGTTTGATGACTAAGGCCTGATCCTGTATGTATTACAAAGACGTCTAAATGAAGCAGCTCATTTATTACTAGTTTGTTTAAAACCCCTGAAAAAATAAAACTCCAGTCAACATTTTAATAAACTACCGGATGAGTTCAGGATAAATTACCTTAATGAGATGTTTGTTGACCCACTTTGTGAAGGTTTTCTTCTGCACCCGGTCGCGTTCATCTGAGGAGGAAGACAAGAGGAGGGTAGACGTTAATTACAGGATCAGAATAAGGAAGAGTTTGGATTTGCAAATAAAACAAACATGACCTCTATCAAAAAAAACCCATCTGGAACGAGGAAAACATGGACAGTAACCACATTTATTGCACATGCCAAGTTTTGCTCAACATAATTTTCCAGCAGATTGTTAGATCTCCATGGTAACTAACTGTATCCATCATCCAGACTAAAGACGACGTTTGTTTCTCATCTCCATATAAGATAAGAGAACAAGAACAGAATTTACTGGATTAGCATTAATATTGTTTTATTCCTGAAACTTCAACAAAGGTTTGCATCGAAAGCTAAACGCCATCGACAAAAAACAAGCAGAATTTAGAAAAGAGAATATTAAGAACAAAATAAAAAAAAACAATCAATTTCCAAAGTGAAGTTTATTTGCCCCTTAAGCCATAACTCCTAATCTATGCCATCAGATTAAATGTTGAGTTTAAACCAGAACTGATGCCTTTAAATGCCTCCTTCTTTTCAGAAAATACCAGCTTCTATTAAACTCTCATTGAGTTCGATTGAAACTTTATTAACAAATCAAACCAAACATTAACAATGGAGAGCAAACAGAGGGAGCAGCCATGCATGCGCTCTAAGTGACCTGAAGGCATGGCTGCTGAACACACTGATGAATCAGGGAACATATGAACAGATCAGCCGCTGCTGATTCAAGAGGAAAATGTGAATATCGGCCCAAAAATATCGTCTGGCAGATGAATCAGTTTATTCACTAATGAAACCTGTCTAAGGAGGGACGTCCCGACACAAGTTATTAATTTCCCACAAAATATGGATGTTTACCTGATACAACATCAGCATGAATCATATATAATAATTTATTACTCATTTTGTTGTGTTAGATGTGAGGAAAACGTTTAATCAAATAATGAAACTCAAACACAGCAGTTAACAACAACAAGGTATGAAAATAACTGACCGGTTTCTAATAAACAAATCAACTACAAAAACTTTAACCACAATTTAGATCTTAATTATATATTTATACTTAAACTTTTTAGGCAAAAAAAAAAAAAAAAAAACTATGAAAAGATCCTTTATCCCTGTGCTATGCTACTTTTTATTAGCATCGTTTTACAGCAAACATTTGTTTTGTTTAGGATCCAGCTGTTGATGACTGGAGACTCTGGTGCGTTTTTACGTTGTAGCTACCAGATCTGCTCGGGTCCTGCTTCATGCCGGTGACATCACGCTATATGATTGGCTGAACGTTGCCACATGATGTAAAACATTGTGGTTGCCCAGACGACGATAGTAACATCAAGCAGCATCAGTGTGCCGAGTCGTAAGCATATGTAGCGCTATCGTGTCTAACGATCGATTAAGTTTTACCTGATCGATAACAAAACTGAAAGTAACTGTTGGACCATGATATGAGGGAGGAGAGCTGGGTAGCGCTGTGGCTAGCTGTGCTCAGTAGCTAACAGGTTAGCCGCTTTTAGCTCAATTAGCCATATTAAGCTGCACTACTTTTAACTTTGTGAAAACGACACTGTTCTTTTCCTAATAACTGTTGTTTTGTCTAAAATCTCTACCAAAGTCATTTATAAAGATTTTCCATTTGTCCTCCTCTGCCCTCAGATCTTAATAAAAAGAATAAAAATTAACTGAGACTTTTTTTTGTCACTTTGGTAAATTGCAGAGCTCAGTCTGTCTTAGAAGGCAGTGATTTACATCAAGACTGATAATTGTTTTAAACTTTCAGCAAATTTAGGTTGAATGAAAGGAATGAAATGTAAAATAATAGCAAATATAGTAGGTAATAATATGTCGTGAGTCCAAAAGAGATTTGATTCTTAAAGGGGAATGCTGTTTTTGTTTTGTTTTTTGTGGGGTTTTTTTAACATTGGGCCCTTGATTTTACGTTACTCCATCATGTTCTACTCAACCATATGAGTTTTGTGTCATTTGGAGCCGTTCTGAAGATATTCCCTTAGGTTATATCCAAGTATCCTATGGGCAACGACTTGAAGGCACAAACTAAACTGTTCATCATTTATTCTTTATGGTACGCCAGCATATATGACACAAAACTCATATGGGTGAGTCATGATATATTAACATAAAATCAAGGGCCCAATGTAAAAAAACCCCCAAAAAAACCAGTGTTCCCCTTTAAGAAACGGGTGCAATACAGTTTGTCCAAGCGGATTTGCTATATTAAGACGTCATAAGAAGGGGCGGGGCCCCGAGCAGATCTGGTACCTACAACGGCACTAATGGCTCGTTATTTCAACAGTAGTCTGACAGGAAAGGGGTTATGAGGACTAAGGCCTCTATACATGGGTCATCGTGTGCACTAACCTCTGCGCCACCAACACGCCCTTTGATCTTGACGTGTTTTATCCGACTTACATCAGCCTCAGACCGCTAAAACAACAGTAGGGTTTTGTTTTTCTCCCTCGGTCATAAAGTTTATGTCCAGAGATTAACCCCGTCTCCGGGCCTCCAGCTGATCTCTAAATGGAGGCCGTGAGATCGTGAGGCAGCAGAGCCAGGAATAGAGGCTGATGCTGAGCCACAGTTTTTCCTCCAGAGAGATAAAGGAAAAAAAGTCTGCAGCTCACATCCAACCTGATCTGCCTCCACTTCCTCTCCTTCAAGTATCATTTAAACAGAAACAATAACAATGAGATGAAATATTCAGTCTGACAGGTGAGATTTTTCCCTCCAGGCATTTGAGCAGCTTTCCTCCCGGCCAATCAGAACGCAGCGTGCCGTCTGTTGTGTACCTGTTGCCACGGTGAAGACAGTACTGCTTCCTCCTTGAAACATGTCTCAGTCTTTCACGCCCACAGGTCAAACTCATTATGAATATCTGCACAACGCTTCATCTGCCTGAGAGACGAAACTGTTTCAGAATCAAAAATGGACCCAAGCTGCAGAAACACACAGCGACCCAGAGCTTCAGAGTTTACTCAGTTTACTCAGAGTTTACCCCCCCCCCAGCTGCCGCCCCACAGCCAAAGAAGAACAAATATTTCAACACGCTCTTGCAAAATGCATTCAGCTATGCAACACGCCTCAATTCCTAAACCCGTCGGTCTAGCCGGGTCGGTTCAGCCGAATGATCAGGGCCAGAAACCTTCAGATTAAGGTTATATTCATCTAGTCAGGATCAGGAATCATGTAATCAGGGTCAGAAATCATTCAATCAGCCCTATAATCTGGATATATGATAAGAGTCTGAATTATCTGATCTGCATCAGAAACCACCTGATTTAGATACAGAAATCGCCTGATCAGGATTAGAAACCATCTGATTATGATCAGGAACCATCAGATTAGAGTTGAATTATCTAATCTGCATCAGAAACCACTTGATTAGAGTCAGAAATCGTCTGATCAGGATTAAGAACCATCTAATTATGATCAGAAACCATCTGATAAGAGTCCAAATCATCTGATCCACATCAAAAACATTCTGATTTGAGACAAAAATCAACCAATTGGAATTAGAAATCATCTTATCAGGGTTAGAAACTATGTAGTAGGGTTATAATAATCCAATCAGGTTAATAAATCCTTAGATTGACATCAGATCAGCTGTTTTATGTCACCAGGCTACAGATGAGGGGGAGACGGGTGACAGCCTCTCATTCATCCACACAGCCCAGCTTTGTTAACATGAACACACACCCCTCCACGCCGTGGAACCGCAGCACGTCCGGCCGCAGCCAAACAGCCGGCATGCTGCGGGACGCACTGACCTGCGCAGCACATGAGGCCGTACAGGTGAGCGTTCAGGTGGCTCTCGTTCCTGTAGTCGGGCCACATCGTCCACGGCTCTCCCTCCTCGGATCAGACGTTCCTCTGCAGCATAATCCACAGCGGGAGTCAGATAAATATAGCAGCAAGACGTCAGGGGGAAACTGAAAGCCTTCTGCTGGCGGCGGGTCGGACCGGTTCCTTTCAGGCGGTTCTTCAGCCGTCCTGGATCCCTCCTGCAGCTGCCATGCCGGCCTGTCCGGACTCGGCCTTCTGGATTTCTGTCCCCTCTGTGTTTCCACAGCAGTTGCTGTTCCACGTGTGAATGTCAAAGTGAGCAGAGGCTCCTCCTCCCTCCGGCCCTCCCTCCCTGGTTCCTCCCCCCCCAGCAGCTTTACTTCCTCACCCCTCTGACACCGGTTCTGTTTATCTCTCCCCTTCTTTCTAGCTGACGGATCCAGAGAGACGAGCTTTTTGTTTCACCACTTGTTGTGCAGCCGCTCTCCAGTTTCTCCCTCAAATCCACGTTTTCATGTTGGGTTTAGATCTAAACACATGATGTAATCCTCCTCAGAGCTCAGCGGCAGTCAAACCAAAACACGCACGTCTTCTTCACCCTGCAACAACAAAACAAACTCCTCCTAAGGGAGCTGACACAATCCAGACTTCGATAACTCAGTTTCCTGCATTTCCTCCACTTTCCATCTGCTCCTTTTCACTTTTCCTTTCCTCATGGGACAAAGGAGCGCTGTCCTTGGGTTTTCTTCACAGTTTATCTCTGTGGCTTTCTGGAGGAAAAACCCGGGAATCTGAGATGGACTTTATCCTCATCAGGAGGAGCTGTTTGGACCAGAGAGGAGTTGATTTAATCAAAGCTGCAGCAGGCAGAGCAGGGCAGAGACGTCCAGCTGATCTAAGACATGATGGGGAGGTAAAGGCTTAGGGTTAACTCCTTCTTAGAACGTTCCTCATTCGGTTCGGTTCTGCTGATTTGGAGCTGGATTTTCTAAAACTGTGGTCATGATTCAGCCAAGCAGAAATCACTGAGATAAAGAAGAAAGCCTCCCTGCGCTCCGGTCCAGGTACAGGACCACCTGACCCACAGGCACACAAAGCCCCTCCTCCATCCTCCCCTTCCGTCAGATTCCCGCTCTCCGTCCTGAAGTGAATCTCGTTCCGTCTCCCAGACTAAAAATACCAGACGGAGCTTAAACGCCTTTAAT